ACTAATAATCATAGTAAAAGTTATAACAAATTTCAGGTGACTTTTAAATGTGTTCTCACTTCTCAGAAAATTTTAAATTGGTGACAAAGAATTTCTTGGAAAATTTTAAAGGGAAAACTAATCTTAATGTTTTTCTACATGAAAATAATATTCAATAATAAAAAAACCAGCCATTAACCAAACTTTTCCACCGTATCCTAACTGCCAGAAAATGGCTCAAGTGAGGTTTTTCTCTGCTAGTTCTTTTATAAAATGTGAATTTGCTTATAGGTCTGTGGAAACCTTTTTGAATATAGCCTCTTGCCGGAAGCTCAAAATTATTTAGTGCTGACTGTAATTGCATCTTGGAGGAGGTAACTGACAGCATGTTGACTCGTATTGCCAAAAATAAAGCTTTTAGGTTTCCTGAGAGTACATCTAAAAATACAGAGTTTTGCTTGAAGATTATCTAGCCCGCCAAAGAATCTCTTGTTTTTTTTTTTTTTTCAAACTGGAAAATATATTTATAATTGTGACGTATCAAATTTCCTTAAAATTTTTCCAATAATCTGGAAGCTAGAAAAATTAGAAGACTGGCTCATAGTAAATAAAAAACAGTCTTATATGTTCAGACATCAATTTTCTTTTAGCATCATTCATAACAAATTCTTGCAAACAAAACTTTCAAAGTCATCAGGATATTCAGATCATACAAATCTGATAATTACGGAGTCTTATTTTTGGCATATTACATACAATAATCTTTTGTGTAAAGTAGTAAAATCATAATCAACTTTATGCCTATGACTGATATGTTTTTGTCTTAAGAAAAGTGCTAAGGTCTTATGTTAACTACCTCTTGACTATGGCTTGCTTTGAATGCTGAAATAGGAAAAATAAAACAACTCCCCACATCTAAATCTTAACATAATCCTTCAGAGTATTCACCAATGGATTTACTGAATCTCATTTTTATTAACAATGCCAATTATGCCCTAGGAAGTGATAAGAAAATGAATCATCTGTCATCATCAGTTGCATAGATATGAGTGTATTTCCATCATGAACCCTTTTATTCAATCTAGCTATGAATCATTCTTGGTAATTTTTTCATGGGTAAGAAGTCACAGAGATAGGCTAAGCTTGGGAGCACAGTGTTTCTACAAAACCAGATCCAGAATTGCAAACTAATCATTAGAGAGCCATGTCACATCTCTGTGCTTTACAGTTGTCAGATCAAGAACTTTATTTTGTTTTGCTATATTGACTATCTATACTATCCGGTGCTGTACATGACTGTGCATAACCGTGCTGTTAGAAATAAATAGAATATTTTGAAATAATGGTTTTATGAATTTTAAAATATATTTTGTATAGTCATTGCTAAAGTGTGCATGAGTTAGAAAATAATGTAACATCATTGAATTGTGTTAGTATCAGTAACTGTCACTCTTCTTTCTTGTCTAAATTAGTCCTACTACCTATGTTCATGTGCTTGGGAAATGCAGTGGCATAAAAAGACACACAGGAAGAAGAGTTACTGCAATTTAATTAGTAATAAAATCTTAAGGGAAAAAGAAAAACACTATATTTGCTATTGGCTCTTATTGTTTAAATAATTAATCTATATATATATATATAAGTTTGTAAAAGAGAACCTGGCTTTTTCATTTTTAACTGGAATTGCTTGGCCTCATAATGACAGGGCTACATGTTGAGGTGGAGAAGCCCCAGTGACTTGGTGCCTCATATTTCACCTTTGCTACATGATTATAAACCATCAGTCCCTAACTAGATTAGAAACAATTGCATGCATAATTGCATATAAGATATTTCCATAAATACAAACAGTTCTTTCCAAAGAAGTGTGATGTATGGTGAAGCTGTTGATATTCGCATTCATTCCTGTTGTCTACTTCTCCTGCCCTTAAGGAAATATATCTCAGTGGTTCAGATTCAGAATTAGAAACTTCTTGCACAGGTGAATGAGTCAGACTAAGTCTATGATTAATCCCAGTTATTTATGATCTGTCTTGTTCTGCTGTTATCTTTACCTAGTTATTTATTTTAGGTAATTAATTACGATGCTTTCAAGAGAGCAAAAAATTGAAGGTATTAATATGAAACAGTGAGAAGCCTCTTTAAAGGCTCAATATAAACCAGATCATTACATGTCATGTTAATCTGACTGTTGACTGGGGTAATTGTATTATTTGTAGCCAAATATAATTTTCTATTAAGTATAAACCAAGAAAAATAGTGAATATATTTACTAGACTTGCCTTTTCAGAATCAGTGTCAAAAGATGATGCATATAATTCCATGCATAAAGGGTCATCATTTTATACTTTATATACTTTAATATAATTAATACTGGTGAGAAATTGAACTACTCTTGTCAACTGCTATACATCTGAAAGAGTAATGATCCTAAGCTTCTGATTGCAATTAGTGTTACATTTATTAAATTTTTGAAAAATATTTAAATTACATAACTACAAATATTTAAATATTACCAAATGATTTAAACTCCTATTTTGTCAGGTGAAACAAATCAGTTTTCTTTTAAGAAACAAGCACTGTTTGATAGATATCCTTTGTTACTTCTTTTTTAAGATACGCATTTTGTCTTGTTGTATTTTCCTAAATATTACCAAATCACTCACCAACTTTGCCTTCCTCATGTATTCTAGCTCCAGCAATGTACATGAAGTTTCCTTCTTCACATTCTCACCAACACTTGATATTGTTTCATTTATACATTTAAAAATCAAATGTCTCAAAAACACTAACTATAATAATTTGTATTTCCTATGTATTAATGAGATTGAAGTGTTTCCCCCATGTATTTTTGGCCAAGTATTCTTCCTGTTTTGTTGATTGCATTGTTTCTTTTCTACTTCAACACTTCCCTTTGTACTTCATTCTCTCCAGCTTCAATACCAAGTGTCTTGGGAATGGAGTGGGGTGTGGGATGTATCATTATGCTCTTAAAACTGTATATATTAAATAGATGTTGATAAAGACTCATAATATCAGTAATATTCACCATAGCTACCAAAAAACTAAGTACATTGGAACAAATTTAACCAAGGATGTGAAAGATCTCTGTAATGAAAATTACAAACATTATAGCAAGAAATAGAAGACACAAAGAATAAAAAAATAAGAATTAAGATTATAGACATATAGACCAATGGAACAGGATAGAAACCCCAGATATTAATCCACACAGCTGCAATCAACTAATCTTTTACGAATGAGCTAAAATCAAACTCTGGAGAAAGGGCAGTTTCTTCAAAAATTGATGTTCGGAGAACTGGATTTATATGTGCAGAAATATGAAACAAGAACACTTCCTTATACCTTTACAAAAATCAACTCAAAATAGATCAAGGATCTAAATCTATGACTTGATACCATTAAATCACTAGAGGAAAACATCGAGGAAACTACAAGACATTGGCATAGGCAAAGACTTTTTGAAAAGACCCCAGGATCATAGGCAATAAAAAGCAAAAATAGACAAATGGAATTACATCAAGCTAAGAAGTTTCTGACTGCAAAGGAAACACTCAATAAAGTGAAGAGGCAATCGATAAAGTAGGATAAAATATGCGAATTACACAACTGATAAAGGATTAATATCTAGGATCTATAAAGAGCTCAAGAAAGTCAACAGCAATAAAACAAACAACTCAGTTAAGAAATGGGTAAAGGACATGAGCAGGCATTTTTAAACATGAACTATAAATGGCCAATAGACACATGAAAAAATGCTCAAGATCACTGGCTAAATTACTTATTCGTTCATACACATCACTTGTTGGTCTCATGTCACATTTTCCTGTATTTGTAACCCACCTTCACGTGTACTGGATGAATGATATTCCTTCTCTTACCTTTTATAGCACCTGGAATAAATTGGTTTAAAAGTATTTTCTCAGATTATTCCATAAATATGCTTTAAAAATAAGCAAAATTATAACTGTGACATATTTTGCTTATATTTATTTTATTTGGATATTTCTTATAATTTGAGAATTATAATAACCTAATTCATGATAAAAGCTACATATAAGCAAAATATACAGTTTCAAGAATATAAGCAAAACATACAGTTTCAAGAATATTTATAAAGCAAATGAACTACAACTGAAGAAATTAAAATATAATTTTAATCTATATTTCTTTAAATCAAAGTTAAAAGAAATTTATTCAAAGCATGGACAATTAAAAAAATGCACATGTGTTTGGAATTTCTTTAGAACCTGAAGTGGAATAAACTTTTGAAAATCTTTCACATGTGCTTAGAAAAAATGTCTTGTTATTGAGTTCTGTGTGTCTTCAAAGTAAACCATATTAATCGTTTTATTAGGAATAATTAATCTTATTCTTAATCTTATTCTTAAAATAGTTCTTATTGCCTCCCCTCCTTCCCGTGCTTTTTGTCTCTGTGTCTCTCTCCCTCTCTCATTTGAACATGCTCAGTTGAACTCTAGCTCTCCCTCTCCTGCTGCTTTTCATCTCATTCCATGAACACTTTTGGATGTTTGGTTTTGGTAGTCTTAAAGATTTAGGCAAAAATATTTGTTAGATGTTACAAGTTGAAGAACAAGCATATGCTAAGACGGATATGAAGTACTCTATAAAGTACTCTCTGGCTTTTTTTCACAGATAATACCATAAAGACAGAATGCAAAATAATATTTCGTCCTTGCTTCTGACAGTGGATTTAGGATTCAGTTTCATTTTCCCATAGCTCAGAAATCTATGGTTAGCTGGGATGGGAAGACAGCTGAGCCTGTGCACACCTGAGGTGGAGCAGAGCATTTGTGCTCCATTTAGTTCTGCCAAAACCCATAAAACTTCTCTTACTTTTCGTTGCTGCATGGTCACATACTTTATCTTACTGGTGATTAGTATGAAAACTACTCCAAGACCTCAAATTATTTTTTAAGATTAATTCTCTTTGACTCCTTTTTTATGAGCTTACAGGTCTGTTTGTTTATTTTTTTTAGAGCTTCAGTTTGAAGATTGTGGTCTGTATGGGATTTCACTGCCTAAGGGTAGGTACAAAAAGGGTAACTGGATATCTTGGCTAGGGTTTAGGCAATTGTGGTTGCTGGGCTTGGTCCTTGCTTTTCCTTCTGAAATTGTTTTTACAACCATGCACTGGTGTTCAGTAGACCTGTGTTGTATTTTCATGGATCCTCCCCTTAAACTTGCTGTAATGCTTTCCAAAGCAGGATGGAACGTGTGAAACTTTCTCCAGAGATAATCATGCCCAGATGTTGAATTTTCCTAACCTACCTGTCTCTCTAGCAGCTATCCCCAGTCCTTTCCCAGCTAAGTGAGTGAAATGATAGGCAAACCCAAGGGTTTGGGCTGTGGCATTGCTCTGTGCTAATGAAGGATTTCCCCTGGCTGCCCTGTTAGTCCTCCAGCCCTACTCACAATCCCTCAGAGGGTGAGATCTTACAGGGTTTTGCTTTTCCCTTGCTTTTGCTAGATTTGTTGTCATTGTTTTTGCTGAAGGTCGTTAATTCTGGGCAATTAGAATAAATAGATTTTCTGTCTCCAGCTTGTTTCCCATTCTAGGAAAAAAAGTCAATGGTAAACCATGGCAATTTTTTGACTCTGGCAAGTTGCTAAGTTGCTATGAGACTACTTCTGCATGAAAGGAATTATCTTTTATGTTTCCTTAGCATTCTGCATAGCCTATTATTCACATGCCCCCTAAATTGTAGACAACGGTAGTGAGATTTTAAATTATATGTGTAGTTGCCTTCACCTCCGCCATGCATTCTCCCTTTGGGAGGAGATATATAGGAATGATGCAAATCTTGTCATCATCTGTCATTGTTTTCCCTTGATAACCATGTTTCAAAAATTAAGGTATAGGGATAGATTCTTTCTCATGTTAACTGATGATTTATAGTAATCATCAAGTTATCCTAACTTGATTATGGGGAAGCATCAAGGTGTTGAGTGAACTTTTAAAAATGTCCATTGTTCATTATATAATAATGTCCATTATTCAATGCAAATACTTAACAATGCACATTCATAAAGGTTCTAGAACGCAGGTCTTAGAATCACTTCTGAGGACTATGTTCAATATCCTAGTCCTTATATAATTCCTTCCTCTAGGATGTAAGACATTTCTCCTAGGACTACATTACATGGCAAAAAGGGCATTTGCAGATATAATTAAGGTTGCTAATCAATTGATTCAGTCTTAAAATATGGAACTTACCTGTGCACACAGATATACCTGGGATAGCCTTTTTAAAAAAAATATATATTTTGAAAAGTGGGGTGGGAGGGGGAAGAGAGAGAGAGAGAGAGAGAGAGAGAGAGAAATTCCATCTCCTGATTCACTACTCAAAGACCAGAAACAGGGCAAGGCCAGGAGTCTGAAATTCAATCTAGGTCTGTAACACAGGTGGCATGGACCTAACTTCTTGTGACATCATCTGCTGCCTCCCAAGATCTACAAGAGCAGGAAGGTAAAATTAAGAGCTGAACTAGTTCGGGAACCTAGGTGCTCTGATATAGGATGTAAGCCTCACAACTGATGCCACAACTGCTGGCTCACACATGCAACCCTTGAGTGAGTCATTGAAAATCAGAAAATTTTCTAGAGCTGCTTCCAGAGCAAGAAGTTGGATTCTGTTAAGAGAAGAAATGATGGACCGCTCCACAGAGGGCTGCACAAGCTGGAATGCACATGGCATCTAAGAGTGGAGAGTGGCCCCTGACCCATGGTCAGCAAGAGAAAGGGTCTTCAGAGTTCCAACCATAAGGCACTGGATTCCACCAACAATCAGAATGAACCTAGAAATTGAATTTTCCCAGAGTCTCTACATAAAAAAATCCAGGTTGGCCGCAACTTGGAATTTGGCCTTGTGAAACCCCAAGCAATGAACCCAGTGGAGTCCACTCAGATTCCTGACCTAGAGAATTGTGAAGTAATGGAGGGATTTCATTTTAAGCTGCTAAATTTGTGGTAATTTGTTATGTAACAATGGAAAATGAGTACAAGTCACATTCAAGGAAGTCTGCTGGGTAACTTGGAAGGCAGCTGCTTTTCCCGTAGAACTATTTCAATGACAGAAAGATGCTAGGCTCAGATTTATGAACCAACTCCTTTTGCTGTGGTGACCACATTCACCTCTACTTTTTTTGGCTTCCAACCTCTTTATTGGCTGTTAGAAACTCAACTGCTTAACTCTTACTGTCACCTGCGATGATCTGCCAACCTCAATTCCCATTGACCATCTGATCAGAGTTGCAGCTCAGTAGGAATGGACTCTCATTCTTTTTCCTCTCTTTTCTGTCCCCATCTATCATATATTCTATGTAGTATTATTTCTGTACCAGAGATCTGTTGAATAAAGGGAACTCCTAACTTATCTTCTCTCTTTTCCAGTAAACTTTGTTTTTTTTTTTTCAAAATAATTCATCTTCTACAACATACAGAAAGCAGCCATAGATATCGAAGGAAAATTGCACTGAAGCCCAGCAAATGTCATATCTGTAAACAAGGTATTATAATATAACAAATGAAATATCTCTCATTAAGATGTAATATCTTTAATGATAAATATACACAATCAATTTTATTCAATGAGAAAATATTTAAATCCTCTCCATTGTCCAAATGGGTATTCATACTTCAATGTGAGACACTGTTATTTAGCTCCATAGGTATTTTTTTTACACAAAACTCAAACTCTGTGAAAATGTTTCTAAGTGGTAAAGAGATTATAATTAAAACAAAGCAAAAGAAATAGTAACTTGTCATATCCTTTTATTTCCTTTTATTCTAAAAAATCCAAATCATTGTTTAAACAAGGAGTACAAATTTATAAAGACTACAAACAAACATATGGGAAGGAAAAATAATTTTAGAGGAAAAAATATTTTAATTTTACTACCAAAAAGTACCTTGCCAAGTTTGGGAGATTACTTCTTAAATAAAAAGATAAAATGTTTAATAAATAAACAAGTATCTTGGAAAGTGAGGTTTCTGACAACTGATTCATATTTAAAATTTTCTATCCAAATAACAAGGGCTCTTTTATTTATCTTTGATTACTTGGAATCAATTCTAAATCTCAGATAAATATGGAAACATGAATCATTTGAAGCATAATTATATGTTGCAAAAATAATATTTATTTTCTGTTTTTCATTATTATAATACTGCTGGAGTATTAGGATATGACAAATGATGTGAGCAATATTAGAGATATTTTATAGAAATTCTTATTAACATTCTGACTTCTCCCCAAAATGTCCTATACTATCCTGATACCAGGCAGCAATGACAATCAGAAGGACAGATTGTGTTGGCAGGAGTGTACTGGGGAAGAAATTTAGACATATGAAGCACAATTTGTTTGAAACAAAGACATTTTACAAAATAATTGCAAAAGATATCAGAAGTGAGAGAAATTGGAAAAATTATTGGGGGTAGTTTCAGTCTGAGAACTATTGATCATTGAAATCAATGGCCTTAAAAATTATAATCTGTCGCTGCTTGCATGCAGGGAAATCTTAGTGATATGCAACAGAACTTCCACAAGTTCTTCAAATCAAAAGTAATGTACATGTCACACACACCAAAATAGCTTCCAAGGATTGTTTAAAGATTGCTTTTAAATTCATGTGATAATCTCCCCTAAGCCGGGGTACATTACAGAGAGGAGTTTAGAGTACCTATGAACCACTGAATAAAAATGAAACAGAAACCATATAAGAATCTGTGAAGATTTAGTTAGATATCAGTTCCTTCATTGATTCAGCACTCCCTCAGGCACGCAGGAGTTTACATGGGTTTATGTCTATTATAACTTAAAATGTGTTGTTTTATTTTCTCTTTAGATTAGAAACTCCCGAGAATGAAGATCAGTTGACTTGGGATGTGTGTGTGTGTGTGTGTGTGTGTGTGTGTGTTTCTGTATTACCCCTTTACAGATCATTAGTTATTTGTTTATAAATTACTCACCATAATTGACCATCCCCCAGAGGACTGAGAGTATATTTCTATAATGCTCTTAGTGTATATTTTTGATGAAATGAAGACCTTGGTAAGTGAGGATTATTTTCATTTGTATGATTGTTTTTGTTGTTACGCATAGGTTTGGAGGCAGAAAGAAACATCAGTTAATGAAAGTTTGCCATTCTTATGTTAAGATTTCACAGAGACAGTATTGTATGAAGTAAATTCATTGGAGGTTTATCACATTTCCCCAAACATAAGTAGCAACATTTCCAACCCTTGTATCTTTCTATTGCCACATCTGATGACTAAAGTCATAGAAATAATTTCCTCAATTTAAATATGATTTATTTCTCTTTTTATCAGAAGTGCCTGTAGGTAAATTGGTTGTGGTTGTTATACCTGTGGAGTCATAGTCCAGCGGAGAAGATCAATAATTAATATAATATTAAGGAAATTTATCATGGGGTCCTTTAATTTTAGTACACTGTGGCTAAAATTAGAGCCACATGTTCTTTGGATAGAAAAACTAATTTATCAGTGAATTATTCCATTTTTATAAAGAATTATTCATTGTTATTCTTTTATTGAGGGGATTTTTTATTTTTTAAATTAGTTTGTAATAGATTCAATATAGTTTGTAGATACAATTTTAGGAAAATACTGATATTCCCTTCTTCCCTCTCTCCATCCTCTCCACCCATTCAAGCTCTCCCTTTCTTTCTTTTCTTAGTTTTTGAGATAACATATTTTCATTTTACATTACAGTAAAGAGGCTTAATACTTCATCAAATAAGAAGTTTAACAAGTGAAAATCAAAAAGACCCAGTTAAGTTGGAATATAGGCAATAGCTATAAACAGTAATTGAATGGAAACTGATAATTTCACTCATATACATAAATTTTAAAGTAGTCACAGATCCTCAAAATTGTAGTAGTATAACATTTTTAACCATTGGTTTGACAAAGGTATAAAATAGAGTTCGACAAAACTATATTTGCAGAGATACTGGTACCCACAGGCATTTCTTTCTTTGTTTTTATTTTCCTTCCTTCCTTCCTTCCCTCCTTCCCTCCTTCCCTCCTTCCCTCCTTCCCTCCTTCCCTCTTTCCTTCCTTCTTTCCTTTACAGTTTGGCTCCCACACTTAAGGGACAACATGTGGTATTGGTCTTTCTGGGTCTTGCTCATTTCAGTCAACATGATGTCCTCCAATTGCATCCATTTTGATGCAAAGGGTAGAATTACACTCTTTTTTATTTATAGCTAAATAGTATTCCATTATATACATATACCAAATTTTCTTTATCCATTATTTTGATGATAGTCACCTTGTTTGATTCCAAATTTTGACTATAGTGAACAGTGCTGCTATAAACATGATGTTGCAGGTATCTCTTTGATACAACGTGTTCACGTCTTTTGAGTATATACCAGTTGCGGGATTGCTGGATCATATGGCAAGTCTATTTCTAGTTTTTAAAGAAATTTCCTTACTATTTTCCCTGGTGGCTTCACTAATTTACATTCCCACCGTTCACCCTTGTCCATATCCTTGCCAGCATTTGTTACTCTTAGGATTTTTTTTTTTTTTTGTAAAAGTTATTTATTTATTTGAAAGTCAGAGTTACACAGAGGAGAGGCAGGGAGAAAGAGAGAGGTCTTCCATCTGCTGATTCACTCTCCAATTGGCTTCAATGGCTGGAGCTGTGCTGATCCAAAGCCAGGAGCCAGGAGCTTCTTCCGGGTCTCCCAGGTGGGTGCAAGCACCCAAGGACTTGGGCCATCTTCCATTGTTTTCCCAGACCATAGCAGAGAGCTGGATCAGAAGTGGGACAGCCAAGTCTTTAACTGGCACCCATATGGGATGCTGGCACTGTATGCTGCAGCTTTACCCGATATGCCACAGCGCCGGCCCCCAACTCTCAGTATTTTGGATCCTAGTCCTTCTGACAGGGCTGAGGTGCTATCTCATTGTGGTTTTGAATTGCATTTCCCTGATGGCAATTGATGTTGAGCATTTTTACATATATTTACTAGCCATTTGTATTTTTTTCCTTTGAGAACTATGTATTGAGGTCTTTGGCTCGTTTCTCATCTGGATTGATTATTGTTTTATTGTTGTTGTTTTTAAAGTTGCTAATATATCCTTAATATTAATCTTTTTTCATATATGTAGTCACAAATATATATATATATGTATATATATATATTTTTTTTGGACAGGCAGAGTGGACAGTGAGAGAGAGACAGAGAGAAAGGTCTTCCTTTGCCGTTGGTTCACCCTCCAATGGCTGCCGCAGCCAGCGCCCTGCGGCCGGCGCACCGCGCTGATCCAATGGCAGGAGCCAGGTACTTATCCTGGTCTCCCAAGGAGTGCAGTGCCCAAGCACTTGGGCCATCCTCCACTGCGCTCCCGGGCCACAGCAGAGAGCTGGCCTGGAAGAGGGGCAACCGGGACAGAATCCGGTGCCCCGACCGGGACTAGAACCTGGTGTGCCGGCGCTGCAAGGTGGAGGATTAGCCTAGTGAGCCGCGGCGCCGGCCAGTCACAAATATTTTTTCACATGGATTTCTCTTCATTACATTGATCATTTCTTTTGCTGTGCAGAAGTTTCTGAGTGTGTCATAACCCCATTTGTTTAGTTTTGCTTTTGCTGCCTATGCTTTGGGGGTCTTATTCAAGAAGTTGTCCCTTTTACCAATGTCTTGGAGTGATTCCTTTATTCCAGCATTTTATTCCAGCAACTTCATAGTCTCAAGTCTTAAATTTAGATCTCTGATCCATCCTGAGTTCATTTTTGTAACTGGTGAGAGATATGTATCTAATTTCCTTCTTCTGCAGGTTTTGCCAGCACACTTTTTTTGAAGAGGTTATTTTTACTCCACTGTAGGGTCTGAGCACTTTTATTAAAAATTGGTTGGCTGTATTTACATGGGTTAATTTCGGGACTTTCTATTCTGTTCCATTGATCTCTGCATCAATTTTTATGACAGTCTTAATGCTGTTCAAATTGAGAATAAATATATTTACTCTCTTTATATTTTGTGTTTGCTTTTAACCTGTATCAAAGTTATTTCAGCAAAAACATTGTTGGGAATATGATAGCATTTAATGATAGACTCCAAATTATTTTAAATATGAAGTCATTTTTTAAAGTGAAAGAATTACATCAATATATTTTACCAACAAAGTTCATATAAGACCACAGATCTCATTTAGATAGTACTTACCATATTACATAGTGTATCATGTCACTTTGAGATATATTACATTCTTTGATATTTAGGCAGACATCTTAGTGAAGTTTAGTGTAACTTTTTGGTGATTGATGATGAGTTTTATACTTTGGAAGTAAATAAATCAAGTGATCCTCTGCCCCCTTTAAGACCAGTTCTTTAATATCAGGCGAAAAATTCTCAGCTTGCCCAGGCTCCTTCATGTATCTCAGGCACTTTTCTCCTTTCAACCTAATTATATAAATTAGATATACTTGTCTTTTCAAGTCATTTATTTATTTATTTATATGAAAGGCAGTGAGACAAAGAATCTTCCATTCACTGGTTCACTGTTCAGATGCTTGGAACATCCTGGCTGGACCAGGCTGAATTCATAAGCCTGGAACTCAATGCAGGTCTCTGATGTGGGTGGTAGGGACTTAAGTACCTGAGCCATTACCTGCTCCCTCCCTGGGTGCACCTTTACAGGAAGCTGGATCAGGGAGCAGCAATTCAATTCTAGACACTCTGATATGGGAAGCATGTTCTCCCAAGCTGTGTCTTAACTATTGCACATAATTCCTGCTCTCCCAGTATGAAAAATAAAAGTTTGGTAGGAACAAAAAGACTTACGTTTGAATAGCAGTTTGGTCACTCCTTTCCCCTGAGCGACTGCTTCAGTACTTGGATTTTTAATCCCATCTACCTGGATTCTAATCCTTGTACTGCAACCTTACTTGCTAAGTGACCCTAGGCAAATGTTAACTCTGTGTACTTCATTCATTCTGTTAGTGAAAGGACTATGATCATACCAAATAAAGGTTTTCAAAGGATTAAATGAATGGATCCATGTAAGTTGTTAGAATAATATCTAAAGTAGAGTAAAACCAATATTCATGTTTGCTTCTATTTAGGCTATTATTATTTTACCTTTAGTAAATCATTCAATTTGTGTATATTTAAAATGATAGATTTTTAATAGATATTGAAAAGACATCAATTCAAGAAATTCTAATTGCATACAAAATGACACTCTTGACTGACAACCTAAATGTGATGTAAAAGTGTAGAGGGTTGATGTGTTAGTAATTTAAAGTCTTTACCAGAAAATTCCTTATTCTACAGAACAATATTTTTAAACACTTTATTCCATGTGAATGTGATCCTATAAATAACTCAGACTAATAGCCAATTTAAGTACTTTCATTTACTATAACCTTCTATCTAAAATATCTGACAAAGTTGATCACTTTCTCTTTGATTTTTTTCCTTTCAGCAGAAATCATCTGGCCTCTTTTTGGATACCATTCCTTATGGGATCATAAACTCATTACAAGGCAGCTAATTTCATTTCGGAATAGCTCTAATAGCAAGAATGTTTTATAATATTTGAATTAAAGTTGGTCTCCCACTAATATTTCTGTCCCATGACACAGAGCAATCAAGCACTCCATTCAATAAACTGTTTGATATCAGCTTTCCCCATTCTCCCAGTAGTTGCTAAGCATCTGGTATATGCCTCAGACACTGTTCATTTTCTCTAGGATAAACAATTTGCTTCTCACGCTACAGTTTCCACCTTTGTGGTCATCTGTTTTGTGCTTGTTTCAAAAACCCTCAACTATAAGAACTGAAATGATTGTCTAGAATTGACCCACACTAGGCCATGACCAAACCTTCTGTATAAGAGTACAGAATAACGTAAGTTTAAATTTCCATGATATATGAAGTGTAGGTGTATTTTCTTTGCTGTAGGAATACATAGACTGGAGGTATGTTCCTTAGAGGAAGAATTTCATTTTTTAAAAGATAGTGGATTGAACACAGGAATGCTGATTTGGCTGAAGGTATAAAATAAGTGAAGTATAAGAAGCCCTCTAATCAGCTTTTCTCTTAAAATGATATGAGACACTTGGTTTTGCCCAATGCTATTTCAAATTGGTCAAAACAAAAAGAGCAGATATGTGAGTCCTAATGTTGTGCTTTATAAAAAAAATGTTAGTGCAGTAAAGAAGTAAAATTTTCAGATTTTCTTCAAACAGCCACGGTTTTAAGCTCCTGGGGGAAAATGCAAACTACAAAGACAATTCTGCAGATATTGGCTCCATCTGTCAAGTACTGTATAGTTGGTCTACAAATACTGGGCTCTGTAGTAACATCTGTCTTTTCACAGATGATGTAAACAATTTGCAAAGGCAGGAGTAACACTGTTTTTTCACTATGAGGGCTGTGGGAATTAAGAGATAGTCTGTAACTAAATGTCAGTGAAAGATGGAAAAGGGGTAGCTGTTTAAAGCATATGCTATGAGGGCTTTCAGGGGATAGAGTTGAGGCTCATATGAAAAATTGCGGGAAAAAGTGGTTCAGCTCAGTGTGGAGCACACTCCTGAGACATCAGGAGTCTCCTGTACCAGGCAGGCTTTGAGCTTGACTTGCTTCTCTCCGTGATTTATGCAGGAGTTTCTGAAGTGGCTTCATGATTAGAATTGAAAACCTTCCAGGTAATTTTCAACTACAGCATTTGAAGTGTTTATGGTTCTTATTTAATTTAATGTGTAATTAAAATTAGGAGCCAAATTGTACATATAGCATCGTTAAATGTTAAGTCTCTAAATTAACCACGTGCTGTAAAGGAGCTAAAATATAAGAGCCCTGACTATCCCCTGTAGCTTCATATATTCCTTTTTTAAAAGTGCTTTTATATATGGGTTTGTAATATTAACAAAGATTCATATATTTCTATTTTTAAAAATGTATATATTTTTGTATATGTAAGTATTTCAATAAAAAGAATCACGTTATTTGCAAATTTTCTGTGGCTTATTCTAGCTATTTTGTTTTCCTTAACATTACTTCTGCTAGAATACCTAAGAGAATATTCAGAGTAATGACTATATGCAGGAATTGTTCCTCCATAATTCTGAATTTTAAATGAAAATATTTGAGCCTTGTCACTAAAGTATATATTGTTTGTATTTTATTAAGTAATGCTATTGTATTTATACAATTTCCTTGTTATTTTTTGTGAGGAGTTACTGCTGGATTGTAGTAAAATTCTTATTTTTCATCTATTTGCATGATCATACTTTCCCTTATTTTGGCTGATTGAGTTAATAAAATGTATTGATATTTCTTATTATATTTATTCACACTCTTGGATTTAATTCTCCTTGTCCATAGTATAGTGAATGGTGAATGTTTTGCAGGATTCTTTGAACTTTTATGCAAATAATTTTATCTCTACATTCATGAGAAAAAAATAGGTGTATAACATTTTATTTTTGCCACAACAGGTTCAGGTTCTAAATACATGTTGGCTTTATAAGTTAGGGAGATTTCCATTTGTCTTTGACTAAAGAATTTTAATAAATTAGGAATGATTTGCTATTTAAAGTTAAAGAAAATTCAGTTGTGAATATATCTGGTCCTCATCTCTTTTCCAATGTTTAGAACATTGATTATATTTCCAAATTTTTCCTGGAAATTGACATACTGAAATTTTGCCATGCTAAAGTTAATTGTGATGATTTATATGTTTTTAACAAATCATCTATTTCCTTTAGACTTGTAAATAGATTTAAGGGTAATGTTCTCTTCTAGTTCTATTACTTTTGCCAGAATCTGTGTTATACACTAAAAAAAAAAACTTTGCCTAATTTATTATATTTTTATTTTCCTTAATCAAATCCTCAGGAGGTTTATAAATTTAGCACATTTAATGCAAATATTAAAAAACACTTTTTAAAATCAGTTGCCCATTTTCTATTTATTTGTTTGTATTTGTCAATTCCTTTTTGTTTTTCAACTTTTATTTAAGAAATATAAATTTCCAAAGTGCAACTTTTGGATTATAGCGGATTTTCCCCCCATAACCTCCCTTCCACCCGCAACCATCCCATCTCCCACTCCCTCTCCCATCCATATCAAGATTCATTTTCTTTTTTTTTTTTTTTTTTACAGGCAGAGTGGACAGTGAGAGAGAGAGAGACAGAGAGAAAGGTCTTCCTTTGCCGTTGGTTCACCCTCCAATGGCCGCCGTGGCCAGCGCGATGCGGCTGGCGCACCGCGCTGATCCGATGGCAGGAGCCAGGAGCCAGGTGCTTTTCCTGGTCTCCCATGGGGTGCAGGGCCCAAGCACCTGGGCCATCCTCCACTGCACTCCCGGGCCACAGCAGAGGGCTGGCCTGGAAGAGGGGCAACCGGGACAGAATCCGGCGCCCCGACTGGGACTAGAACCCGGTGTGCTGGCGCCGCAAGGCGGAGGATTAGCCTAGTGAGCCGCGGCGCCGGCCAAGATTCATTTTCTATTATCTTTATATACAAAAGATCAACTTAGTATATACTAAGTAAAGATTTCAACAGACTGCACCCTCTCAGACACACAAAGTATAGAGCACTGTTAATCTATTTTTACATTGTTTTTCTAATTTACTTTTCAGTTAAATTTTTTTTGCTTTTTTATTTGAGGAAGAGATAATGAGAGAGAGAGAGAGAGAGAGAGAGATCTCGCACTTACTATTTCATTCTTCCAAGGGCCCACAGCAGTACAGGCTGGAACAGGCCAAATTTGGGAGCTGTGAATTTAATCCAGATCTCCAACATGGGTGGAGCCTTGTAGGGTCTGTTTTAGCAGGATGTTAGTTATCTTAAAATTTCATTTCTGCTTTTGATTAAAGAGGCTTATAAAATAGTTTTTAACTTCTAAGTGGTTAAGACTTAAAAATAAATTTAAAATTTAAATGTATAAATATTTATTTAAAATTTGTTGAATTATGAGAAGATTACATTCTATAAAGTTTCCACGTGTATTATATCAACATTTAATCTGCATCTGAAGCTTTTGTTTCTGAGTGTATTTTCCCTGTGGGATCTCCTATGCATCGCAGGACTCTTCTGAACACATCTCATATCTGGTTTCTTCAGGGAATAAGCTCCGCCCCCCCCTTTTTTTGTGACTGGTCTCTGCCTCTGCAAATCACTCTAGTAGTTTCCTGCAAAACTTCAGTTCAAAATTCCAGCGTTTTTAAAAAAGATTTATTTATTTATTGGAAAGTCAGAGTTACAGAGAGAGGAGAGGCAGAGAGAGAGAGAGAGAGAGGGAGAGAGAGAGAGAGGTCTTCCATCTGATGGTTCACTCCCCAAAAGGCCACAACAGCTGGAGCTGGCTGGATCTGAAGCCAGAATCCAGGAGCTTCTTCTGGGTTTCTCACACGAGGGCAGGACCCCAAGGACTTGGCCATATTCTACTGCTTTCCCAGGCCATAACAGAGAGCTGGATTGGAAGTGGAGCAGCGGGGAATTGAATCAGCATCTATATGGGTTGCTAGCAATGCAGGTGGCAGCTTTACCCACTATGCCACAGTGTCAGCCCCTCAGTATTCTTTTAAGGTCTACTATAATCAAATCACTCCTTATTTTTTGATTTTTGCATATTTCTGTATCTTTTACCAAGTCACTTTGTCTTTCTGGGGCTGATCAATCACTGGTATTAATAACTGAGTATTGAGGGGAGCCCACAAGCAAAATAGACCCCTTAAAATGCTACCTGATTCCATCACAGTAAACCTTGCAAATTTTATTTTGTTTTAAGATTTAAAACATGGGAACTGGTGCTGTGGCACAGAAGGTTAGGCTGCTGTCTGCAGTGCTGGCATCCCATATTGGAACCTGTTCTCCTCTGGCTACTCCACTTCCCATCCAGCTCCCTGCTAATGCACCTGGGAAAGCAGCAGCAGATGGTTCAACCCCATGGGCCCCTTCACCCACATGGGAGACCTGAAGGAAAATCCTGGCTCCTAGCTTCAGCCTGGCCCAGCCCTGGCAACTGCGGCCATTTGGGGAGTGAACCAGTGGATGGAAAATCTCTCTTTACCTTTCCTCTCTCTCTCTCTGTAACTCTGACTTTCAAGTAAATAAATCTTTTAAATAAGATTCTAAACACGGAATAGTTACTTTGAGGGTAAAATATTTTGATGGGAATCTATTTTTCAGCCCTATGGTTTCATATTTCCTTTATGAAGAGAGAGGCTAATTCCAGATGTTGCTTTTTAAAATTATTTTTGCTTTATTTTGCATATAGTGCTTTAATTTTAAAATTTATTCAAAATATTAAACTTTGGCCAAACACATGCACATTTTCTGACTCAGAAAACCTTGCCCTGCCACAATAATAAGCTGCATTGATAAAAGGACTTGCAGACAGCTTAAAAACACTGCCATATGGTTAACCTGACCTGGTTTTATTTGAACTGAGTTTCCCAATGCAATATAATACATGTTTTTCTATGATTCAGAACAAGTCAAGGCTTATTCTTGATCTGGGTCCAGGGCATGTTGGAGACTTAGAGTGGGGGAAGGGACGTAGATGAGCCACCTTCTGGGAGACTATAACAACATCTTTTAAATCTTCGGATTCTGGTACATAACGTTACATCCTTTTATTTGTCTAATTTGATGTGTTTTTCCAAAATATCTACTTTTGGATTACAGTAATACAGTCCATTCTTAAACTTCACCAATTCTCCTGAACAAATTTCTTTACAAATATAAATTGCATTTGTAAATACCCTATATAGTCAAGTAAATAAGTAATGATATATCATAAGAGATGCTATAATTGTTAAAATTGTTTCTGTGTGTTACTATTATAGATAATTTTTAGTTTTTCATTGTACATTTTTATATTTTCCAAATTCTCAAGAAATAGCAAGTATTATTTTTACCAGAAAAACATGATCTGAAGGCCAGCACTGTGGCTTAGCGGGTAAAGCCGCCGCCTGCAGTGCTGGCGTCCCGTATATGCGCTGATTAGTGTCCTGGTTGCTCCTCTTCCAAACCAGCTTTCTGTTATGGCCTGGGAAAGCAGAAGATAGCCAAAGTCTTTGGGTCGCTGCTCCTGGAAGAAGCTCCTGGCTCCCGGCTTCAGATCAATCTAGCTCTGGCCATTGAGGCCATTTGGGGAAAAAACCAGCAGATGGAACATCTCTCTCTCTCTCTCTCTCTCTCTCTCTCTGCCTCTCTGTAACTCTGCCTTTCAAATAGGTAAATAAATATTTAGAAAAAAAAAGAAAAACATGATTTGGGGCTGGCATTGTCACAAAAGGGGTAAAGCTGCCCCTGTGAACGACATTGGCATTCCAAGTGGGTATTTGTTACTAGCCTGGCTGCTCCACTTCTCTGATTCACCTCCCTGCTAATGGCCTGGGAAAAGCAGCAGAAGATGGCCCAAATATTTGGGCCCCTGTCATATACATGGGAAACCTGGAAGAAGCTCCGGGCCCCTGACTTCAGACTGGCACAGATTTGGCTGTTGTGGGCAATCTGGGGAGTGAACCAGCAGATGGAAGATCGCTATCTCTCTGTCTCTGTAATTTCGACTTTCAAAATAACTAAAAAAAATCTTTAAAAAAAAGGAAAAGAAAAACATGGACTTTTGAAATATACTTCGCAAAAGAGAGAACTTAATTTGTTTTCATTCTTTATATTTTCCAATGGTATCCAA